ATCTAGTAATCGTTTACAAACTGCGTCACAGTGCATACATAATATAATGAATTTCCTTTGAATATCTGGACTTCACAAGTGTTTGCGCTTGTTCTTTAGCCGTGAATGCGGGAAACAGATCCTCGACGAAGGCGTGAACACTTGAGAACGGCTAGCCGCTCTTTCGAGTAGGCTCTCGAAGATACATAAATAGAAAAGATGTAGCAGCCACCGACGGGCTGCCTATGTTACAAGAAAAATAATCAGTGAAATGATCGAGACGTTCTGGCCATGAAAGATCGTATTATTGCACTGCACCCGGTTGATTATACCTTCAACTGTTATTTCTATGCTATTGAATGCCTAATGAAGTGCGGAGAAGTATTGAATCGTCGACGGATCTGGCACCTATAAACAACGCTTTATAGTTCTATAACGAGTTAACGCTTGCAACCTCTGAATAGGGTATTTACCGGTTGATTCGCGAGGTAATAGCTGTTGCGGAATCGGGTCTCTTAAATCCACATAAGCACCGCAATGTAATTTCCAATCACCGCCTTCAATCTATTCGAGGTTTTGGGCTCGGCGCATTCCGACGTAGACTAACCGGAATTATTTCGATAGCAATTGATAAAGTCTTAGAATAGTTCGAAACTACTAACCGTGCTAATGTTAAACAATATCGTGGAATCAAACGAAGCTATTCGAAAAAATATGTAGGGCTGGAAGATGAAGCGGTGTAGATGTTGCCTGGCGGAGATAAGTGCAGAGCGCGGGATAATTTATCGCAGTGGCCGTATCGTGGAAAACTGCGACGCTCCTGCGAGTAAAATGTTAAATACGGCTTGTGCATGCACCGCCGTGGCGCCGAGAACATTTTTATCACGCCGCTCCAAGACGACCGAACAGTCCTTTCCACGAGGCCAGCGGTCGTGATAACACCGGAACTTTCCTCCATCGTCCCGAAGAATTACGATCAAGCGGTTCGCGGACCTACCAAAATATTAACCCCTTCAAGTCGTGCGTCTTTACGCGAGAAGAAATCGCGTGCCTGCGGGAAGAATATAATCCGAACGTCTTAACACTACAACTATCGGCGATTGATTTGTCCTACAT